GCCAAGTTGTAACTCAAAAATTACTAATAATATTTAAGTATTACTCGGACCAAATAACTTAAAGTTAAAAGTCAAGATATTTGTAAGAAAAATAATTTCCACCACAACTATAGAAAAAATATTTTCCGTCTTTTGATTGAAACATTTCGGCTTTTCTTAAATGCGCTATTCTTCTAAAAAAAACGCCTTCCATCGTACCAAACACATCCTATAACTTTCTTACTTTTTCCTCTCTTTTTTTCCTTTTAAATGGTGTATTAAGGAGCGAGGGGTGGTTTCTAGATGAAAGTGAGGGCAAATTAAGACAAATTATTGATTTGATTATAATTATAACCTTACTACTCCACTATTTACAGCTCAATTAAGAAAAATTGGTGAAATTAATTTGAGAGGACAAGAGGCTTCACATTGAAAATCATTACTCTTGGATAAAGAATTAATTAGTTTATACAAAAGAAAGCAGCACATAAATTGACTTTGTAGGAGTCGCTGCTTTTTGTTTAATTCTTAAACAGCGGAGGCGGATCCTGAATTTAAATTTTATGTGTTCAGATTTATAATTTTATGATATCTCATTTAATTTAATGGGTTCAAAATTTCTTGTATGTACATATTTAATAGTAACTTTTAAACAAAAATACAGGGTATCAACTTTTTGACTTTTTGTGTAGCCTAAAAAGTAAATAAAATCAGATAAGCATTTTTTTTCCAAGTCAAAGTAGTGGAAATGGGTCTAATAAACTCTTTACAATTTTTCATTTATTTTTATTTTCTTCCTTTCTGATAAGGAAAGCAAAAGGGGGAAAAACAATTGTACAAGGAAACGTAATTGGAGATATGTCAAAGATTTACCCTAATTAATTGACACAAAAAGCTCATAATTAATAAGGTCTGTTTGACAAACTAATCTAGGAGAACATATTATATTAGTATCATTCATTTTTGTTTGCCAATCTCGAGAGCGTAATTTATTTTACGAAAAAAGGTCAAAGATGTCCCTCAATTATGTGAAATTGAGCAAAATTGTCTTTATAATTATGTTTGGTTCCATACGTGCGCTTATCATTAATGGATGAGTTCACATTTATCATGAAGGAACTAGCTCATATGTCTCAAATATTTGGAACAAAGAAAAGTAAAATATAACACTTCAATTTCTTATTTGGTTATTTGGCCTACTACATCTATGTTGTTTGTTTTCAAATTTGAAAGAAACATCTCCTATACTTTCGCCATTGATTCTTGTCAATATCTTATTCTTTACATATTATAAAAATTTATATATATATTAAAGCAAAGAAGTTTGCCTCAAATATATGCCAAATGTCAAATTATTATAATGCCAATTGGCAACATATTTAAATGACAAGTGGAAAGTAAATATATTAAGACTTATCAATTTCCTATAAAGATCATATAGAATTCTATAATTATGGCAAAAAAAAAAAAAAACAAGACAAATCCATCGACATTTATGGATATAAAAAGCTATAGGAATTACTTTAACAAAAAGGAAGATGAAACAAATCCATCGACATTTATGGATATAAAAAGCTATAGAAATTACTTTAACAAAAAGGAAGATGAAATAAATAAAGCTATATGAACTGTTAAAAAAAGGAAAAGAGTAAATTGCTCTTTCTTACATTAAATAACGATAATTTAAAATAAAATGAAAACCCAATATTCTGTACTAAAAACAAGAATATATATTATATATTATAATAGGGTTTTTGGTGAGACTCAAAATGACCCAATATTCGGTCACCAGCATACATTACGCCTCAAAATCTGGAGAAGCACCAATTACGCCTTATCATCTTCGATCTATTCTGTTCGAAATTCCCCATTTTCTTCGCTTCATCTACGCCGAAAAATATTGAGGGAATCTTGATCTCCCTATACAAATTAGGAATTTCAATTAGCTTAACCCTAACCCGAAAAATAAGATCCCTAATTTTGTTGGATTTGGATACAGAGGGAGAAATAGAGACATTCAAATGTGAAATTAGTCCATCGCAAGGAGACATTCAAATTTGAAGATGATTTTCCCGATCGTTTGTTCTCATCTCTTTCGCATCGCTTCTGAAGACGACGACATCTACACCATGTATTTCGGGATAACAACTAACTGTGGAATCCGATTTTATGGAAAATATATTTTTCGATACAAAAATATTCGCATTCCGTATATTTCGAAATATATATATATATAGATTCTAGGGCGATCGCATTCATGCGACTGTTGGTCGGTCACTTATACGTATGTTCAAACCAAAGTTAAAAGAATTGGGTTTGTACGTTATGAAGAACTTTGTGGTTGGACCAAATTATACAAAACTTAAATACACGCGGCATAATTTGAAGTTGGCATTTACTCATAAGACGATTGTAGAGGAAGCAAATGATCATCTTTTTGGTATGACTATCTTCGACTTAAAACCTTATGAGGTTTTGATAAACAAAATTGATGTTGAAGAAAGTGAACTTTTCGGTAAGTATTCAGTTCGCAGTTCTTTTATTTGAATGTCTTATAAACTTTCTCCTGATTATTTTTTTAAATTTTTATAGATGTCATTGGAGAGGTTGTAAGTTATGGTGAGGTAGAATCCCATACCCAAGGTGATTAAACCAGCAATTATATGCATGTGGAACTTGAAGATCATGAGTAAGATTGCGTCTATCAATTTACTTTGTTATATATTTTAACATCATTACTTATCGTTGTCTGATTAAATTGTTATATATTAACATGATTATAGACGTAGTCTAATTTATTTCTTATATCAATTAACACAGGAGGAATAATATCTCTGCAACATTTTGGGGAGAATTCGTTGACCAAATCTT